AAATAAATTGAAGAATGAGGGCCAGCCAGATAGCTCAGCAGATTAAAGCCCCTACTTAGGCAGACACAGGGACTGGGGTTCAATCCTGGGTATGTCCTGCAGCACTCTGAGACAGCAATTGAGACTGGGCTTTGTGGTCCATGCCTGTAATCCCAGTGCTTGGTAGGCTAAAAACAGGAGGATCACTGCAGTCCGATCTGTGCAGTGAGACCCTGTAGACCCTGTACTTAATACCATAAATAAATAAATAAAATTGAAGAATGAATTCTAGAAACAATGAAGGTTAAGAGTAGGATGCATTGGGGCCTGGGAGATGGCTCAGTGGAATAAGTGCTTCCCTAGCAAGCACAAGGGTCTGAGTTCAATCCCCGGTTCCGCAAAAAAAAAAAAAAAGGAGTAGGACGCATTTATTGAGAAAAAGAAAAGCTTCTGTCTAAGAGAGACAGAAGGGGTCCCAAGTGAGTAGCCAGGGAACGTGCTTCCCAAGGGAGTTTTATTTCACAACACTAATAGGTGAACTAGGTCTAAAGTGAGACAGAACTATAATCAATCAATAAGATTACAAATATAGTTGCTCAGGTATTATTGAGCCAATGGGAAGTCACAGGATGGGTGTGAGGTGGGACAAGACTATGGTGAACCAATAGAATTACAACAAGTATAGACCCTTAAGAAATACTGATGAAATGTGGATAAAAAGAGGGAGCCATAGGGGCTAGGGAGATAGCTCAGTAGAATAAGCACTTGCCTGGCAAGCGCAAGGGCCTGAGTCCAATCCCCGGTTCTAGCAAGTGGACAAGGACTTTCCTGGAAGGGGTGGTTTAGGAGCTTCAGTCCCCCCACCCAAGATGATTGACACCTACTTAGAATATATCAATCAGTGCTGTTCTTCCCTAGGATGTATGTGAGTGAGTAGTTCCTCTTTTTCTTAAAGCCTGGCCTCAGTGAATATGCCAATGTCACCCTTGTCTTCTGCCCTGACCTTTTGAGGATCCAGCCTGTCTGACTGCCTACAATATTTTTAAATAACTTAGCTACCTATAATAAAGCCTCTGTTATACACAGAAGAAAAACAGTATGGATTGTGGTCCCAGACTTTTTTTCTCCATAATTTTATTGAGAAACAAATAGCAATGAGACAGTTTCAAACCAAATTGGTAGGACAGTTTCAATAATTAACACATTGCATACATTCTTCCTAGTGGTTATTTGCTGAACAAGATGTGGACTTGATATCCTATTTACAAACACCATTAGAACAAATTCCTCTATTCATTAAGAGAATGTAGCTATATATCTATCCCAACCACTTTGAATACACAGCTACAAAATGGACATTCATCTGTATCCCCTTTTTTTGTTAAGTTCCATCATTTAAATATTATAAGTGTGTAAACTCAGCAAAATATTCTAAAAGAGTTTAGTAGTCCATAATAGTATTGGCTCTTCCGCTTCACTGGCAATGTCAGAAATTGTTGACCTGAGTCCCCTACAGCTCAACATAACAGCATGGCTTTACTTCTTATATTTCGTTTTTATACTTTTCTACTGGATGGTTAAGACCAAGGTAAAGCAGGACCTATGCAACAAGAGTTGTAACTTTTGGGTCTGATAAGGTCAGTGAAATGCCCTCAGGATTTATGCTGAGATCCTGTACCTCAGATTGTAGAACCTTTGTCAGTGTCAGCCATGTGGATGAGTCACAGCCATTTCTTGGCCAATGTGCTCCCTGTGAAAGCCTGAGAGAATGTTTTCTCTCCATGTGACTCTCCTTAGGCACATTCTACATCATCAATCACTTTCCTCTTTGGCCCCATAATCTCCTTGATCAGAAAATTTGGGACACTACCGAGTTGCATGACGTTACAGTACAAGTTCTCATATGTCCTGAGTCTTAATTGACCTTGGAGGGCTAGGGCCAAAATGTTGGCTTTCCTTGCGGCCCTCCTTTTTCTCTAATTTTGGTCTGCAAACTTAGGTTGTTAACCATCCAGAAGACAAGCTTATTGTTATTACCATGCAACCTAGGCTGTTAAGCTTAACCTCACTATCTGTCTGAATATCAAACATCTTAGGCATAACATGGAACAGGTATTTTTCATCAAGTATTGATATGTTGAATTTTAAGTCCCTATAGAATATGATGAAAAAAACATTTAAAAATTAGAATATATTTCAGTCCTAGCCCAGGTCCCCTGCAAATAAAGTGTAAACACCGCAAGTTGAAGGCAAACCCGTGTGTTCAAGCCCACCTGGGTTCTCCCCAGTGAGAGAACGACCTGAGAACGACTCTACCTCAGTGTCTGCTTTCCAGCTCTGCTGCCCACAGCCAGGTCAGCGAACTCCAGACGCAGCTCAGGAAGAGCCAAGATCTTGGAGCCAGAGCGCCAGGCCGCCCCGGGCCTCAGGACAAGCAGCAGTGAGACTGTCCTGAGCAGGAGCTGTTGTACCCTCTGGGAATCTAGATTCAGATAAAACTTCCAAATCTTTCTCAAACAGCCTCTTTCAGGGATGGATTTTATGAACAGTTATAAGCCATGTTTGCAGATCAAAGCTAAATAAAATATTTTTAATATATTCAGATGCAGAAGAGGAGAGAAAGGAGAAAAGATAAGAAAAAAGGTAGGGGAAAACATGTAAGTATGTATCCAGGAGGGCTGAGGTGGTTGTGCTAAAAATCTCCATCAATTTTTTGGAAATAGTAGTTAATATGCGGAAGCCTAACCTTGACTAACTCTGTATGCTGATATCTGTAATCTAAGCAACTATGTCGAGGACAGCTATGTGTAATACAAAAACCATGCTTGAATACCTGTCATCTTGGTCTTCTAAATGTGTACTGTATCTGATGTCCTATCAATTATTACTAAACTCTCTTTAAAACAAAATTTTTAAAAGTATAGAAAAATGTAAGTAAATTTTCCTTGATCACACTTGATTTGTGTGATGAAAAATATAAATATTGCACTATAAAAGAAAAGAAAAGAAAAAATAGAATATATT